TTGTTTCAGCAACCATGCGAATACTGGATGGAGAATGTTCTTCCTCAGCATTATCATATCACCTTGGGTGGTCTTCTCCGCCTGGAGGAAGTGTAATTGCTGCCCAACTGCTTGAGCTTGGAAAAAATAATGAAATAGTGACTGATCCTGTGCTTCGGCAAGAATTGGCCTTATCAATGCCGAGGATATACTCTATACTTATGGGCATGATCAGTACAGATGAGATGGACATTGTCAAGGCTGTTCTAGAAGGGTGCCGATGGGTTTGGGTGGGAGATGGCTTTGCAACCTTGGATGAGGTGGTCCTTAATGGTCCTCTTCATTTGGCTCCCTACATGCGCGTTATACCTGTTGATTTAGCAGTTTTCAGGGATTTATTTTTGGAGCTTGGCATTCTAGAATTCTTAAAGGCCAGTGATTATGCTAATATATTATGCAGAATGGCTACGAGGAAAGGTTCTGATCCTCTGGATGCTCAGGAGATCAGGGCTACCATACTGATTGCACAGCATCTGGCTGAAGCTCCATTTTATGATGAGAAAATCAAGATCTGTCTGCCAGATGTGATGTTGCGACTAATTACTGCTTCTGACTTGGTTTATAATGATGCTCCCTGGTTGATCAGCTCGGAAGTTCCTGATAGCATGTTTGGTAATGCATCTTTGGTTTTAAGTGCTAAAGGAACTGTTCAAAAATTTGTGCATGGGAACATTTCTAATGATGTTGCAGAGAAGCTGGGTGTCCGTTCACTTCGAAGGATGTTGCTTGCGGAGAGTGCTGATTCAATGAATCTGAGTTTATCTGGAGCTGCTGAAGCATTTGGACAGCATGAAGCCTTGACAACAAGACTCAAACATATACTCGAAATGTATGCTGATGGACCTGGGATTCTCTTTGAGCTCGTGCAAAATGCGGAGGATGCAAGAGCTTCTGAGGTGGTCTTTTTATTGGATAAAACACAATATGGGACTTCCTCTGTGCTATCCCCAGAAATGGCAGATTGGCAGGGCTCTGCTTTGTATTGTTTCAATGACTCTGTTTTTAGTCCTCAAGATCTATATGCAATCTCCCGTATTGGTCAAGAAAGTAAATTAGAGAAGCCGTTTGCAATTGGTAGATTTGGGCTGGGATTTAATTGCGTTTATCACTTCACAGATCTCCCCACATTTGTCTCGGGGGAAAATATTGTCATGTTTGATCCCCAGGCTTGTAATTTGCCTGGAATCTCTCCATCTCATCCTGGTCTACGGATTAAATTTGTGGGCAGAAGGATTTTGGAACAATTTCCTGATCAATTTTCTCCATTTCTGCACTTTGGCTGTGATTTGCAGCATTCATTTCCTGGTACTCTCTTCCGTTTTCCCCTCAGGAGTGCAAATGTTGCTTCCAGAAGCCAAATAAAGAAAGAAGTGTATGCACCTGAAGATGTCATATCACTGTTTTCTTCTTTTTCTGAGCTTGTGTCCGAGACACTCCTTTTTCTCCGCAACGTAAAGACCATCTCCATATTCATAAAAGAAGGAGGTACTAGTGAAATGCAACTATTACATCGTGTGCAGAAGCATTCTGTTAGTGAGGCTGAAGCTGAAACCACTCCTTTTCATAATATGTTCAGTTTAATGCATGGAAATCAGCAAGATGGAATGGATAAGGATCAGTTCCTCAGCAAACTGAGCAAATCTGTAGGCACAGATTTGCCATGGAAATGTGAGAAGATTATGGTGACTGAACAAGGCTCCTCTGGTGATAAATCGCACTTGTGGTTAACTAGTGAGTGCTTAGCTGGTGGCCATGTTAAGGGTAACTCTGCATCCGTTAGTAGTAAATCTAATAGATGTGTTCCCTGGGCTTGTATTGCCTCTCATTTGCACTCTGTAAAGCTTGAAAGAAAATTAACCACTTGTGGAAATATTGAGGAATTTTGTGCTACTACTCCTGACATACCTCAAGTCCCTGTAACATCCATTGAAGATAGAAACAATTCTGGGGGACGTGCCTTCTGTTTTTTACCACTTCCAATATATACTGGTCTTCCGGTACATGTTAATGCATATTTTGAATTGTCATCCAATCGAAGGGATATATGGTTTGGAAATGACATGGCAGGTGGTGGGAAAAAACGCTCAGAGTGGAATAAATACCTCCTTGAAGATGTTGTTGCCCCAGCATATGGCCGCTTGTTGGAGAAAGTTGCATTGGAAATTGGCCCATGTGATTTGTTCTTTTCTTTCTGGCCAACAACAATAGGGTTGGAACCTTGGGCATCAATGGTACAGAAACTTTATCTTTATGTTGCTGATTTTGGTGTTCGTGTATTGTATACAAAAGCTAGAGGGGGCCAGTGGATCTCAACTAAGCAGGCTATTTTTCCTGATTTTAGTTTTGACAAGGCATGTGAGCTTGTAGAAGCATTGTCAGATGCTGGTTTACCAGTGGCGAGTGCTCCTAAGCCACTTGTGGACAAATTTAGAGAGGTCTGCCCTTCATTGCACTTCCTTACACCTCAGTTGCTACGTACCTTGTTAATTCGCCGGAAACGTGGATTCAGGGACAGGAATGCAATGATCATGACCCTTGAGTATTGCTTACTGGATTTAAAAAATCCTGTTCAATCTGATAGTTTCTTTGGTTTACCTCTGGTACCTCTTTCCAATGGTTCAGTCACAACATTCGAGAAGAGGGGGGTGAGCGAAAGAGTTTATGTTGTATGTGGAGATGAATACAGTCTTCTTGCGGACTCCATCCCTCATCAACTTGTGGATTGCAGAATCTCAGATGGTCTTTACAGAAAACTATGTGATATAGCCCGAAGTGAGGATTTCAATTTGTCAGTTCTGACATGCCATTTGCTTGAGAAGCTCCTTTGGAGATTACTTCCGGCTGAATGGCAGCACGCTAAGCAGGTAATTTGGGACCCTGGTCATCAAGGCCAGCCTAGTTTGGAATGGATGAGACTGCTGTGGAGCTATCTCAATTCATGTTGTGATGATCTTTCAATGTTTTCTAAGTGGCCTATTTTGCCTGTTGGAAATAATCATCTCCTGCAGCTTGTTGAAAATTCGAATGTGATCAAAGATGATGGGTGGAGTGAGAACATGTCTTCACTGTTGTTGAAGGCTGGATGCCTAATTTTAAGGCATGACTTCCCACTTGAACATGGACAATTGAAAAATTATGTGCAGTCTTCTACGGCTACTGGCGTTTTAAATGCATTACTGGCTGTTGCAGGTAACCCAGAGTACATTGAGGGGTTGTTTAGTGATGCATCAGAGGGTGAGATGCATGAACTTAGGAGTTTTATTCTTCAGTCCAAGTGGTTCTGTGACGACTTGTTGGATGACCTGCATATTGATATCATAAAAAACATTCCTATGTTTGAATCATTCCGCAGTAGAAGATTAGAATGTTTGAGTAAACCTACCAAATGGCTTACACCGGATGGTGTTCATGAGGACATTTTAAATGACGACTTTGTACGAATGGAATCTGAGAAAGAAAGAATCATTCTGAGGAAATATTTGGATATCAGAGAACCATCGAGGGTGGAATTCTATAAAAATTATGTACTCAATCACATGCCAGAATTTATTTCACAGGATCGATCTCTATTTGCCATTTTACACGATATCAAACTTTTGATGGAGGAAGATAACTCCATCAAAACTGGGATTTCTACAGTACGTTTTGTTTTGGCACGCAGTGGAGATTGGAAAGAGCCATCCAGGTATGTATGTTTTACTACGATTCTATCCAAAAATACTTGGGACGAGGCTTTGTTGAATTGAGATAAATAGAGTATCTAACATAGGCATGTGTTAATGTAGTTATTAATAACCTTAAGGGTATGTTTGGATTGCGGGTTAAAAGGGGATAACTCTGGTAGAATAGGATAAAAAAATATGTGAGAGTCCATATATCTCATGTTTGGTAGTTAAAAAAAATGCATCGAAAATCCCATTCGGATTTTATCCCAACTCAATTTGAAAAGTCAACTTTGATCTATGTACATGGTTAAATGAAACTCAAGGGGGGCTAGAATTTTTTTTCCTAATACAGGATAACGAATGCAAATGATTGAATTGCCATGTTCTATTTTCTCTCTCTTTCTCTCTTGTCTGCGTTGTCTCCGTCTCTTTTTTTTCACAAGTCTGATTTTTTTTTTCAACAAATTTGTTTGGTCAAGGAAAGACTCTGTCGACATACCCCAAGAAGACCAAGACATCTTTTCTAAGAGGACAACTAATTTAAATAATAAACTAACTATAATAAAACAATATGTTATTTGGACTAAAATTAATTAACAACTAATAATAAAATAGCTAATTAATGAGAGCTTGAGTTATTTCTCAATAGTCTTCGTAACATATGAACACCTGTCTAGAGGATATGAAATTATAACGTTTTTAAAAATTACATATGACGACCCAAAATCTGAGGGTCCTTTCTCAACACTTTGATCACCTATCAACCCATAGAAGTACCCGTGAGTACCACATAACCCGATACCACGTCGTTACACCCTATTCACCAGGATCATAATCAAAATAAGGGTTGGGCGGAGTGTGTTTTGTACTGGAGCACTACCCAACGCATAACCTATGCACATATCAACCATATGACCATTCCAAAGTTCAAACTCCAGTAATTTGGACTTATTATTATTATCCATTTACATCATCCATAGAGGTCGTTCTAAGAGTGAATGCCCCTCAGTGTTATATTTTAAAATTTTAAGTTTTGGGAAGAGGTATTGGTACCTCTGATACGTGGTACTGGTACCTGGTCCTTTTATTTTTTAGGTACCGATACCTATAGATTTTGGTACCGGGGCCTACTATTTGCTAGGTACCGGTACCAGATACTCCTCCATCGGCTCCCATAACACATGCAATGCTATGCGTATATTTTCGGGTATTTTAAGTTCCCGCCATTGATGTTAGATATTCAATAACTATTTTATAAAATCCTTAGGTCTTTCTTGGGGTGGGTGTTCGTGGATTTCCACCAACGGGTACCCAACTGAAACGACATCTATGGATTTTCACTAACGGTTTCGCGTACGCTGACACACTTTATGGACTCAATACCAACAGGAGTGCATATTCGAATTACCTAGTCTTGCACTCGAGGGGGAATCTAGCCTTTCTTGTTAACCCCGATCCTTATTTTTAATGTAACTCGTGCAACTCAGTCGAATCTAAGTTCAACCTTTCCTAGCCCACGTATCAGCCCACCAATGATGACGTTTGATTATGTTAAGAGTATTAGGGTAGTATATGTAATTTATTAATAGTATTAGGATATTATGTGTAAATACAAGAGGGTGTGTATGTGTAATTCTTGTTATGAGTTACTTATAAATACAAGTGATGTATGAAGGTTAGGTTTAAGTTTTAACCTATCTCTGTTTTCCTCTAATATTGTGTTAATATTCTACACTTAACATGGTATCAGAGCGTAACGATAATAAACATATATTTCGAATAAATTAATTTTGTATTGATCGTTAGTGGTGGTTTGTGTTGATCATTGGTGATTACTGTGTTGATCGTTGGTGTGATCTGCGTGTGTGTCGCTATAGTGGTGGTGGCAGTTCCCTGTGTTGATCGTTGGTGGTGGTGGTGGTCTGTGTCTTGTTGTTGCTGTCGTGGTGTGTGGTGGCTGTGGTGGTGTTGTTCCTTCGTCGTGGTGTGTTGTGGCTGTGGTGGTGTCGAACCAGGGTTCTCTTGGAACCCTAATCAGCTAGCGAGGAAGAAGAGCCCAGCCTAGCCAGATCGGGTCAATCCAACAGGTCGTAATTGTTTTTAAGTCTCAACCCACGGTCTAGCCCACGGTTCATGGCCGGTTTAGCAGGAGCTCCAGCGGTCCGGTTCAGTGATCAGGAGAGCCCGACCGGACCGGTTCAGTGGCCTAGCCCGGTTCAGTGGTCCAGCCCTATTTCCAACCTGGTGCAGTGGTCCAGCCCCTATTTCCAACCCGGTTCAGTGGTCTAGCCTATATATCCAGCCCGGTTAAGTTGTCCAGCCCCTATTTCCAACCCGGTTCAGTGGTCCAGCCTCCTCTATTTTCAGCCCAATTCAGTGGTCCAGCCCATATTTCCAGCCCCGGTTCAGCCCTCCAACAGGTCCAACTAATCTGGTTCAGTGATTCAGCCCCTATTTCCAGCCTAGTTCAGTCCTCCAGCAAGTCCAACTAATCCTATTTCCAACCCGGATCAACATTGCAACACTTTTTATTTGTTATTTGCTACACTATTATGGAACCCAAGCAAAATACCATGTCCCTTACTCCATCTTTGCCTCCTCCTACTCTTATCAATGGTCCCATGACCTCTGTCAAACTCAATAGGACTAATTACACTTTATGGTCCCGATCTGTTGAAGTCTTTCTTCGAGGTAAAGGATTTAAGAAATATTTGGTGAATCCTAAACCTAAGGAAGACATTCCTGGGTATGATCAGTGGGAACAAGAGGATGCTCAGATTATCTCTTTATTGTTGAATAGCATTGAGCCTAGTATTAGCTCTTCTCTGTTCTATCTCGATACTACCAAAGAGATATGAGATGACTTGGCTACTATGTATTCTGGTTCAGGTAATTTTACCCGTGCGTATGAGGTGTGCAAGGAGTACTTCCGGTTGGAGTAGGGTACTATGAGTCTTGCAGATTATTACTCTCATGTTCGGGGAGTCTGTGAGGAGATGAAGACCTATCATCTTTTTATTACTGATGCAGCAGTTTGGCAGAAACAACATGAGGACCTGAATGTTGTTAGGTTTTTGGTAGGATTAAAACCTGAATATGAGGCTATTCGTTCTCAGATTTTGGGTGGTTTTAGTCTTCCATCACTGCTCGAGGTTGTCTCTCGTTTACAGCGTGCTACATTGTCTTCTCCTTCAGGCATCGATCATGGTATCTCTACTGATCGCTCAACTCTTGTGGTTCCTAGTAGTCACAGTGATGGCCATCGTGGTGGTCGTGATAGTCGAGGAGGTCGTACGGGTGCCGTAGTGGATCTTGTTCTTGTACTCACTGTGGTCGTGGAGGACACACTGTTGACTTTTGTTGGGATTTACATGAAAATCTTTTACTGCTGTTTATCAGGATGATACCTCAGTTGTTGCTTCCATACCTCAGTCAGCTCCACCAGACACTGGGTTAGTTACTATTACATTGGGTCGAGAGGAGTATGCCCAGTTTCTGTCCCAGCAACAGACTGTTCCATCTTCCTCCACTGCTACTTTTTGCCCAGTCAGGTACTGCTTTCACTTATTTATTATCCTTCACTCGCAGTCCCTGGATCATAGACTCCGGCGCTTCTGACCACATGACTGGTGTGTCTGATGTCTTTTCTACTTATCAGTCTGTTACTTCCACACGTAGTGTTACTCTTGTTAATGGTACCTGTTCTAAAGTTTCAGGTTTGGGGACTACTCACTTGAGTCCTGATGTGTCCTTATCATCCGTGTTATTTATTCCTCAGTTTCCTTTTAGTTTACTTTCCATTAGTAAGATTACCCATTCTCTTAATTGTTCTATAACTTTTTATCCCTCTTATTGTGTCTTTCATGATCTCAAGACAAAGAGGAAGATTGGTACGGGGCATGAAGCCATTGGCCTATATTACTTTGATTTTGATTCACCTACTCGGGCTCTACAGACCTGTTGTCTCCTTTTCTATGGCATTGTTGCCGTGGACATCCCTCTCTCCAGAATTTGAAGCGCCAAGTTCCTAGTCTTAGTTGTGTGTCGTCTTTGTCTTGTGAAGCTTGTCAACTTAGTAAGCATCACCGTGTGTCATTTCAGTCCGGAGTCGATAATCGTGTGTCTAGTCTATTTGAGTTGGTACATTCTGATGTATGGGGTCGAATAAAGAATATTTCATCTAATAAATATCCTTATTTTGTGTCTTTGTGGATGACTATTCTCGTGTGACTTGGTTGTTTTTGATGAAAGCTCGGTCTGAATTATTCTCTATATTTGAGAACTTTCGTAAGGAAATAAAAACTCAGTATGGTTGTCGTATACGTATTTACGATTTGATAATGCTCAGAAATATGAATCTGATCATTTTTCAGCTTATCTTAGTAAAACTGCCATTATTCATCAGACGTCCTGTGCTTACACATCTCCACAGAACGGTGTTGCTGAACGCAAGAACCGTCATTTGTTGGAAGTCACCCGTGCCCTGTTATTTTAGATGAATATTTTCCGATATTTTTGGAGTGATGTTGTACTCACTGCTTGTCACCTTATTAATTGTATGTCATCCTCGGTGTTAAATGGACAAAGTCCATATTCTATCTTTTTTCCTGGTAAATCCTTATTTTTCCTAACTCCTAAGGTTTTTGGATATGTCTGTTATGTTCACAATTTGGGTCCTGGGTTTGATAAACTTGATCCTCGGGCTACCAAATGTATATTTTTTGATTATTCCCGCATACAGAAGGGATATCGTTGCTACAGTCCTTCTCTGCGGCGATATTTTTCTAGTGCCGATGTCACATTTGAGGAATCTGTTCCATATTTTCCAGCACCTTCTCAGCCTTTGGATCTGGACTTTGAGTCACCTCTTGTACCACCATTGATTCCTTCATCTTCAGATATTCCGCTACCTACTGTGTTACCGTTTACTTTACCTCTTCGTGTATACTCTTGTAGTCCTCGATCATCGACTTACGTGCCCGTACCGTCTTTCTTACCGCCTTCTGATCTTGGTTCATCAGGTAATTTAGACTCTTTACCTATTGCTCTTCGAAAAGGTACTCGTTCGTGTGTTACTAATCATCCTATTGCTCACTTTGTTTCATATGATGCCTTATTTCCTATTTT